GTAGAACAGGGAAGTTTGCACAAAGATTATACAAAACTTTACTGATTCTTTTCTGTCAGTCTCTCCTGTCAGGTAAAGGGTGCAAAAGCAATATTTTGTTAATTTCATCAGTTTGTGTTCTTAAGCTGTAAAATGCAAATATCCCTAGAGCACAAGAGCCTCCCTACAGAATGGCTTTATTATGAGGAGTCCTTAACTATAAACATGCTACTTTTCTAACAGGCATTTGCAAAATATGTGTAAGTTTTTATGCACTTTACCTAGTTATTCTCTTCTCCTAGGCTATCATACTGTGCTAATTTAATTTTCTGGACACATTTTCTGCAACAGATGTTTTACTATGTCATGTTTATATGCCCAAATACTCCAAAACAAGTTTTGTGTTTTGTGTGTGTATGGAGGACACAGCATAGGCTGGCAGCATGGCAACTGTTTGAAGTACTAAAAGAAAAATCAAATATTCTTCCCAAAATGTATTTTTGTAATTGAAATGTGAAGATTTGCTGTTGTAGGACATGAAGGGGGAAGATAAATTTAGCAAGAAAATTTCACTTCTCGGAATGGAACTGAACTTCAAAACTCCAAATGGAAACAGTAGATGACGTTCAGACGTTCAGACGTCCCTGCCTTTTGGTTTTAATTGTCCTATTTAACGTAGTCCAGGGTGCATTTTTTTTCAGTCACGTATCTTGATATGCAGTGTTAAAGCACAAAGTTGGCTAGTAAAAGCATGGATGTGTGCATGATGGAAGAGTCATGCTGTCTTTTTTGCAGTGCACCTCAGACCCTGATTTCCAGTGAGCAGTTCTTTAGCTTATGGATGTGCAGCTTTATCTACCTGTAAGGTACAAAATGAGAAAAGCTAGCAGCACAGATGTGTGAATTCCACTGGGACTTTATGTTTCCTGTAACAACAAAGTTCAGAGTACTTTTTCCAGGCTATTACTGGGGTGAAATTATTTAACTAAAAAATTTAAATAAAATGTTACAGTCCGGAGAGGTAGGGAATTCTCTTTTACCAGTTCTTCCTTCATCTTTGCCATGAGATCTGCATTCAGTGTTCTTTTGTCAGTGTGTCTTGTAGCCACTGTATCACCATATAGGTAATTTTTTCCACACGCTTTCTAAAAGTGTGCCTTGTAGTTAACCAGTGTCTACTTTTATGGGCCAAATCATGTTCACATTGCATAAACGAATAACACAGTTTAGATTGTGGTGGCTCATGAATGTAGGATTTGCCTCAGTATCCTCGCTTGACTGTTTCGTTTCATATAGAGTGTTAGAACAAGTATGGAATGATGGGCACCAAATAATTAAAGGTCTTGTGATACCAGTGGGGGGCATGTGATGAAGTGCCCTTGTTTGGAATGGCCAGGGCAGAGCAGTTGAGTTAATGTGAAATATTTCCATAAGCAGTAGAAAGTAGTGGACCTTGATTTCCAATGAATCTGCCTTGCAGAGCTGATTTACTTTTTAACTGAATTATTCCAAGTCTTCTGAGTGAGTTCTGTTCTGTGTGATGAAAATGCATTTGGGTGGGAAGTGGATTCTCTTATGTCAGGCAGTAGTAGAAGACTCACTGGAGCTTTTTTCTCAATGAAGAAGAACTCTGCTTGTAGACTCCCTTCCAGCTTCCTGTTCTGACTGCACATGGAAAAGTAGGTCATTGTGCCTACCTCACTAACCAATTTAGTTACAGTAATGAAATTTTGTTTAATGGTTTGTATGTGTCTCACTGTCCTTCAGGTAAATCTTTTACTGTGACTGGGCTGTTTCGTTTCTGCTTCTTTAATCTCCAGGATATCCTCCTCTGTAAAGAAGATTGTCACCCCCACACACTACCACACTCCTGCCAGCAGGAGAAAGAGCAGCCACCTTCAGACATCAGCCAGCACAGCCCAAGGGTGCAAGGAGGGACTGATGGGCATGCTGTCTTGCCTCGTCTGCTGTACTCTGCCAGGTCCTTGGTGTGACTGCACTCATGTCATTGCAGTGCTGCAGTTTTGTGCAAGTTAATGCCATTGGCCTTAGTAAAATGCTATTATGTAAGAGATAATGATACATCATCTGAAAAGCTTTTGACCCAGAGCACATCACCCGTGCCTAGCACGTGTATCATGCTGTTTTCACATAGCAGATGTTTACAGACATACATAATAGGAGACGAAATACTGGAGGAACAGGGTTGTGCTCTGAACAATCCTGGGCAAAATGTTCTGTGATCAGGAAGGAGTAGATCAGGTGTTTACAGAACATCTTCCTATTTTCAAACCTTGGGAAACCAGTTAAGGTATCTTGTCGGCTTTTTTTGCCATACAAAGTGAGAGCTCTGCACCTGTCTGTGGGATGGATTCTGTTTTCTAAGAACACCTCTGGAAGGACCAGAGAAGGAGGAAAGAAGTACCTTTCTCCCTATTTTGCAGAGGAAAAGGCAGGTAGGAAAAGTTTCAGCACATTCTCCTGTTGTAGTATCCCAGGTCAAAAGATCCCCTTCATCTCTGGGAAGAGAAGGGAGTAAATGCATGTCTCATGGGCAGGAGCTGATGGGAGGAAGGGGGAAGCTGTGAAACCTTGCTCCTTGTACTGAGGAAAGGAGGGATGGGGAGCAGACAGGGGAAGTGGGCTGTGGAGTTGCATGCCTCCAACTGAGTTGTGGTCTCTGTTCCGAATTCCTGTATTCTACCTAGGAGATCTCAACAGGAGCAAAGATGCATGTCTTGAGCTGCTTTGGCACAACAGGATCAGCCTATTGGCAACATGCAGCTTTCCCTTGCACTGTGCCACTGAACTGTTGTGCACATAGATGTCATTTACGCTTGATTTCTGGGCCAATGCACTAACTTACGCGAAGCTGGTGGGGCTGGGGCAACTCTAAACCTCCTTAATCCTCCTCCAGTAAATATCTGCTCAGGCAGTCTGCTGGGAATTAGTGCTAGACAAGATCCCATGCTGTGCTTGTCTGCCACAGGATGCCCTGTGTCCTGCTCCCTGCTGGCTGTTGAGAAATAAGGGCAGGCTCAACTCCCAGCTGCCTTCTCTTCCAAGACTCTCCCTACATGCTTGCAGCTGGCCTGTTCACTGTTTTCCTGGCCTGCCTCTCACATAGTCTTTGTGCCTCTGGAGCTTTGAATTGGAGCTTATTATCGCAGGATGGGCAGGATTGTTGGCCCATGCTCTTTTCCCCCATTGTGTGAGGAAGAGCATTTGGTTTGGCCACACATTTTGACTTGCTATCACACACATTGCAGAGTCTTGTCACTTAGGTTCCTTTCTGTAACAGTTGCTAATCTGAACAGATATGGCTGATATTACAATGTGTCCCTAGAAGAGGAAATGTTGACTCACTGGGTTTGTTATTCTTTCTTCTTTTCATTGGTACCCAAACTCAGCAAGTTGCCAGGAAGTGGGGCAACTTACTTTATATGATCACTCAGTAGAATCAAGATAGGAATCTTGGGTATGTGATGCTGTTGATTTAGGGTAAGAAGTGGTGTTTGGCACCACAGGAGGCCAGCCAGTCTGTGCTGTGCTGGCCTTCTCTCCCTGAAGCAGCGTGGCTGTGGTGGGGTTTTTACAGGCCAAGCCCTTCCCCAGGCCACATGTGGTCCACTTAACAGTTGTGTCATAACCTAACGACTTCCATCAAGATACAGAAACGGAAACTAACAGGTAGCAAAACACAAGTACTAAGAGAAGCAAACCAGTAAGCCCAGTTCCAGCCTTTTTCTTATACTTACCATGTTTCTGTCTCTGTGACTTTTGTCAAAGATTGCTTTGTTTAAAAAATAAAACAATAGAGGATCACATGACCATTTACAAACAGTACCTCGATACATAGGGTAGAAGGATGGTCCATTTGATTCATTCAGACACCTACTTCAGCCATGACAATTTAGTTACTTTGTGAGTTAAAGAAAGGAAAAAGGAGATACAATAATTTGTCCTAATCACATTTGTATTTCAAAAGTTTGTAAGATTTTAGTTGCAACTTAATTTCATTGTAATTTAGCTTGAATGGCAATGAAGCACAGAAGTGTAACAGCAAGTTTTCTAAAGATTCGGTGCTTTGGATGTTGTGCTTGCTTGAAAATGTGGCTGTAGCTTTGCAGGTGGAACTCTGAACAGCCTTTGAACAGGATGCTTAGTAAGTTCCCTCTGTGGTTTCTGTGTGGCTTTTTCTGAAGGATTGTTTCCAGGTGGGTACTTGAAAGTTTGGGTCCTCAGACATGGCTGTTCTAGTGAAGTGTTTGAGTCTTTTAATTAATTTTAATTCCTTAATTTTAATTAAGGAAAGATCTATGAGTGCTAGGTATAGCTCTTTTGTCATTTTGCTGGGTGAAGGAGGTGGTGCAAGGTGTATTTATCCACCTAGGGATACTGTAACAGAGCTTAAAATAGAGTGGTGTCCTCTTACATGTGTTGGGAACAGTGGGTTCTGAGGAGACGAAAGATGTTTCTCATGCTAAAACCAGTCTCCAGTACTAAATCTTTTGGTAGCTCTTACAAGTTAAAATTACCCTCCAATGCCAGACAATCAAACGAGCAGAATTTTTTTTACTCCTTGGCTAGTGCCTAGTCTGTGTCTTTAAAGTCTCCCTGAAATGGAAAAGTCATTGTATCTTTTAACTATGCAGCCTGTAGCGAAGATTTTGCAGAGAGTTTTGGGAGGGCAAGTCCTGTGTCATCAGCACCTCCCTCAGGGTCACAAGATGAGTTGCATGAAATGCCAGCCTGAGCTGGGCTGTAAGATTCACTGTGTTGTAACTAGTAATAGAAAATTGCTCTCTGAGGTTTGCTCAGTGGTTTTGAAAGATATAACTGAAGAAATAACTGAAATGGAAAGTGACATCTAGAAGGAGATACAAAGGAGGTTGCTGGAAAAGAGTTTGCCTTCCGGAATTCTTTACTCAACAGGATCTAGAATGCTAAAGCACCTCTCATCTGATCATTTGAGATGATAAAGACTCTAATTTTATGTTTTACTTTTACAGAATTACAAGTGTCAAAGAGAAGAATAATCATCAGCCCAATGGTCATCAAGGATACAGGTTCTGCTGGTTTTATCTAGATGGGTGAAAAGGTTAACAGCCCAGAAGGGGAGCTCCTTGGGTTTTCAAGATGGCAGCGACTAGTGGCGAGAGCCAGCTGCAGCGGATTGTCAGAGACTTGCAAGGTACAGTGCCATGCTGACACATTCCTTCTGTAGGCTGGACTGCATCCTTCATGTTTGACATAACAAAGAGTAGTTGTGTTCTCAGTTGTGTAAGATTTTTGTGCAGCAAATGTAGCAACGTAGTTCAAGGTGTGTGGTGTGCTCAGTAAGGGATGTGACTGATTTATTTTTTTTTGGTGAGAGGTGTGCTGCACTGACTGCAGGATCCTGAATTCTGACATTATGCAAAGAGAGACATGCCAGATAAGAAATAAGTTTTACAATTTGAAAAAAAAAAAAGTGTCTGTAGGATGCACAGGGTGAGCTAGGACTTTGTGGCTGTGAATAGAGCTATGCTGTTACAACTTCATGTGAGATAAGGAGAGACCTGACTTTTAGATCCTCCTTCAATGGGAAGGTGGTGTGGAGTTGCTGCTAATGTATGAAGGAAAAAGAAGGTCAAACCAAACTGGGAATGAGGAAGAGTGCTGGGAAATTGGATCTGCTGTTCTTGGTGCAGTGGAACGTGCTTTCTGTGCACCTGACTTGTCCTCCACTAGCTGTAGCCAATCTAGTTTTTCACAGCCCTATTGCAGGCAAAATTGACAGCAGATTTGTAACTGTTTTCCTGCTGTGTGTCTGTCCTAGTCAGTTGCTTATACCAAGATCCAGGTATTTTTCCTTTTAGTTTTTATTAAATATAGGTCTGACATGCACCAGAGCTGAGAATCTCGGTCTTCCTGGAACATAAAAAGTACATGCCTGCTAATGAGAAGATATTTTAATTTGCAAAGGGAATCAAGTGAGACTGGGAGCTAAGCCTCACTCAGGCACTTGAAGAAAGTACAAAACTAAGTGGAAAGGAAGCTCAAAATGAGTAATTTCTGATGCTGAGGAGTACAAACTTTTGGGGCCAGAGTGTTCAGGAAAACAGCAGAGTTTGCTTTGTCTTGAGTTTTCCTCACCCTCTAAAGGTATTCCTCTAAAGGGAAAGGAGTTGCTATATGCTTATTTTTATGTTAATTATTTTTCCCATTTGTGTTTTGTAACCAGCACAAGCTGAACCTTCCTGAATAAAGCATGGAGAAGATAAATGTGCTGACTGAACGACTGTTCTCGTGTTACTGATCCCCTTTAGCAGATTACATGCTTTGTCCTTTCTAATCAGAATTCTGTTTGTCCTGTGGCAATACCTTAATATGCACATGAGGCAGCAAAAAGTTATTTCTCTTTCCTCTGCTGAATTACCAGTTAGAAATTGTCTGTTAGCAGTTTTTGCTAAGTAACAGAAGAAAGTTTTGCTCTTTTTAAGAAGTAGTCATCTATATACATAATTTTGGCTCTATTTTTTGAATAGGTGGTGTTAAATTGCAGGCATATCAATAAGCTTTTGCACTGTTGTTAAGAGAGTTGAACTAAAATAAGCTGAATACACATGCATAATGTCCACGCAGAAAAAAACATTTATTTAGTTGTTTATGGCTTCAGTACTATATACCTCTAGCATTACTTAACCATTTTGGTGTCTTGTTTTAAAGATGCTGTGACTGAATTAAGTAAAGAATTTAAAGAAGGAGGAGAACCGATCACAGATGACAGTGGCAACTTGCAAAAATTCTCCTACAAGCTTGAGTATCTTCTACAGGTAAAAAGTTACATGTTTTATATGTAATCTACCATCAAAGCTAGGCCTTTTTTTCTCTTACTGCCTTTTCTGTGGGGTTTAACTCAAATGATCATAGCTATCCAGTTGAGTCTTTTTTTTTTTTAGTGAGTGGACTGAAATGCGTGGTTCTTATTGTACTTATTCAAGTAAAAGTAAATAATTGTAATCAAAAGGCTATGCTGGCAGTTTAATTGAAGAATCTTAAGGCTTTTATCACAGAATGGTTAGGATTGGAAGAGACCTTAAAGATTATCTATTGATCTGAAAGATCAATAAGATCTGAAAGCTTGATTTTAAAGTTATATTCTGCTCAGTTATTTTGGAAAAGCTAGCAGTACAATCTTGACAAGGTTTTAATGCAAAATAAATACTACTGAGCTGTTCATGGTGTTATTATGGGGTTGTGATTAATTTACAGATTTTATAGCAGTTTCTCTTTGGAAGGTCATTTTTGATGTATGGAACGCTCAACATAAAAGGCTGATTTTTAATCTGGAATACTACTTTTTGGTCATCCTCTAAGTTTAATTAAAAGGGGACACTTCTGGGGAAACTGAAATTCGGTTTGCATAGCCTTGTGTCTACACATACTGTAATCATGTCACTGTTTGCACAAAAGACATGTTAAACCAGCCTTAATCTAGGCAAGAGAACTTTAATGGGGTTGCAGACGCTGCAGCAGAAGCCAAAGAATCCTTTTGGATTTGAGTGGTCCAGGCTGCAGTCCATACTCTCACTGCATTGCTGAACATGATGTAGCTAGAGCAGGTTTTCCTGGTATGTATGTGTGCTATGGCCACACTTGATTGCAGGTCTCTCAGCAACTGGTTCCTTGCTCTTGAACAGCTGCTGAGTCTGCTGCCAGTCTTTGTTTCAGCAGTTTTGAATAGCTATCTGTATTTTAACTAGATCCAGACATTATTATCTGTTACTGTCTGTAAAGCAGCTTTTGTAACTGCTGGACTTCATCTGTGCAGTACAATGTCTCTTTCCATTGTGAATACATTGACTAGAACTAAGAGGAGTCATGAATGCACATGTTGCTGGGAGAGGAACAGAATTCCAGCTGTATGTAAGTATATTTATGTTGAAGTTTTGCTCATTGTTTTTTGTTTTCCTTGTTTAAGTTTGACCTGAAAGAAAAAAACACGTTGCTAGGGAACAGAAAAGACTACTGGGATTATTTCTGCGACTGTCTTGCAAAAGTCAAAGGAGCTAATGATGGAATCCGCTTTGTCAAGTCTATTACAGAAGTAAGTGTATCAGTTAAGCTTCATAATATGTGGCTTATGTTTTGGTATGTCTTTTCAGAGAGTTGGGGATTATTTCTTTTTAATTCTCATGTATAATATAAGCATTCAGGGTTACTCTTTTTACTAGGACACTGAATTATATAGGGCTAGATAGCCCGACTCTTATTTTGAGGACCACTTGCACAAGTGAGTGGTCCTTTTGTTTCTGGCTGTGCCCTGCCTTTTCCTAAACTTACTGCCATTTTCCCTAGAAAGGAATGAAACTTAAGTTAAGGGTAGAGCCTGCCATCTTTAGCACAGCTTAAGACAGGACTTAAAATCATAGAATTGTAGAATGGTAGGGGTTGGAAGGGACCTCTGGAGATCATCAAGTCCAAAAGATTCACTATGTTGGAGGTATGTTAAGACTTTTTCAACTAATCAGTAGAGTTGAGGAGCAGTAGACTGAGAGCAGCATTTCATCTTCTGTCCCATCTTAGTTCCTTCATGTCAAATAGCATGATGTAGTGGCTTGGGATGGTTGCCATTGTTCCCTCTGGTAAGCTGTCATGATCAGGACAAAAAACTTTCTATTTATTACTTAGAGTAATAAAAATTTAATCTTGTAACAGCCATGTTATGTCTTCAGCTTAATGAGTGGGTGAAGTAGGTGCTGTGAGAAGCTTTCTGTTCTGACCCTTTCTGAGTCTTTAGAATCTTTTGAAGAAGGCCTTCCCTTGTGGGTAAAGGAAGCAGTGGTGTGGTGGTACCAGCCAGCATTGTCCCAATGCTCAGTTTTCTTGTCTGTGAGCAGTGCTAACTTGTATTATCAAGTTACTATTTACAGCAGATTTCCCTATTCTCTTAGAAATTTCTCCACAGCAGCTTTAGATAACATTGTCTTGAGCCATCTGAAAGAGAGCCATGATACTCTGGCAGAGGCAGTCTCTTATGTACCCTACCAACCAAAATAGATATCCTGGAAATTGCTCAGCTGTTAATCAGAGCCTTGACCTTGGTGACACTGGGTGAGCAGTGAGTTCTGGGCATTTTCCTTTCAAAAGGTGATTATACAGAATACACATCTTTCCAAGTCTGTACAGCCACAAGTTGCACAGTGCTGGGGCCATATGTTGTACCTTAGCCAGCAAAATTTACAGTAACCTACTAACTTTTGCCTTGGCCCCTCTAGTATTTTCCTTGGCCTCCAGTTTAAAATCATTAATATAATTGATTTGTTGGTTGAATGAGCAGTTTGGTTAGGAGTGTCGGTGACTGCGAGAAATTATTTTCATCACTTTCATTTTTCATTCTTAAATTGATTACTGATTTAGTGGAAAAGAGAAATGAAACACTACTGTTAAGTGTTTCATTATTTTGCAGGAAAACAAATAGCTCAGATATAGAAGACAAAACAAAGCTTCAATTACCCAAGTCAGTAGCTGTAACAAGTATTTGGTGCTGAGTTTTGTGATCTTCCTCTATGTTGATTTAACAGCTGTCTTAATAAAAAGATCCATTATTTCAGTCATGCAGCTGCTCTTAGTCTGAAGTAAGAATTAGATTTTGATCAACTTAACAATAAATTATTAAGAAACTTTGTCATCTGGGGTTACTGTGTCCATGGGATTGTATATTTTTTATGTGTACATGTTTATTCTATGACTGGATCTGCCCTAAATGTATTCTGTGACTGTGTCTTCCAGCTATGGCCAGATATGTCCTAAGTAACCTAAGTAATCACTTCTGGCTTTGCTGGGCACATTGAGATTTTGCTTTATGTTGGGAATTGTCCTTAGTATAGTCCATGCTCATGTACTCAGTATGTTAGATCATTCATTGGTCCTGTGATGCCTCTTATAATAATATAAAGTAGACAACAGCCAGCTGTAGATGCAAACTGGTCACTCAAAAAAGATTCCATCCAGTGACAGTGTTGGGAAAAGGTGTTTCTCAGTGGCAATTCTTAACTGCTTCCTTTGCAACTAATGGCTTGTTGTGGGTGGTCTTTCTGTCAGTGTGTAGACTGTTCTGGACATGTCTCTACATGATTACAAATGATATTTAGACTTTTCTTGTGGTTTCTCCTTTCCAGCTACGAACATCTCTTGGAAAAGGAAGAGCATTTCTTCGTTACTCCCTGGTTCACCAAAGGCTTGCAGACACCTTGCAGCAATGTTTTATGAACACGAAGGTGACCAGGTGAATAGCAAAGTACTTTGTTCACGAATGAATGTTTGTTCAGTGTGATCAAGCAGTATCACCTAGTAGCTTTTGAAAGAAATTTAAACCCTTCCAAACAGTTGGCTTAGAGAGCTGGTAATAGGATAGGAAGGATAATAGACCTTTTGGCCTGGATCACTTGTTCATACCTATCTTAGGCTGGTAAAGATTGAAAGTTGTTACAGCTCAAGGGGTGGTGCTGATTTTTCTATATGTCCATTTCAAATGTGACATTTTTATAAGCATTGAAGTTCCTGGGTTTGATCTTCTGTGCTGTACATCATAAGGGAGGATTAATTTGAATGTGTTACACAAAACCCCAGAAAGCATTTGCTTATATCCCTTGATTGTTATGTAGAGAAACAGCTTGCCTTGGTCAAGTAGCTGATTGGAGGCCCTGGAAGGGCTTTTAGAAAAAGCCAAATATTTGCACAGTGTGTTTAACTCAGATTCCTGCTTTTTGTCCCTCATTTTTGATGTATTAAGTGTGTGCTTTAGGTATTTACTGTGTCATTATCCAGTGTATAGCAAGTATTTTGTCTTGCCAGTGTTTTGCCCAAGTGCTAGAGCAAAAAATATTTTGTGCAGGGCCTCCTTTAATGATATTTCTGTGGAACTCATTGAGGCTGTGTGATTTCATTCACATCAAAGGGATGAGACACTGATTTACTGGTTGGTGGGTCTGTTTGTTTTCAGATGGCATTTAGAATAGCATATCAACATTTTTCTGGGAGGAAGTGAATAATGATACTGTGGGGGTGTTTTCAAGTGAAACTACTTCTTCTTTTTAAGTTATGAGTCATCATAAGGGAGGATTAATTTGAATGTGTTACACAAAACCCCAGAAAGCATTTGCTTATATCCCTTGATTGTTATGTAGAGAAACAGCTTGCCTTGGTCAAGTAGCTGATTGGAGGCCCTGGAAGGGCTTTTAGAAAAAGCCAAATATTTGCACAGTGTGTTTAACTCAGATTCCTGCTTTTTGTCCCTCATTTTTTATGTATTAAGTGTGTGCTTTAGGTATTTACTGTGTCATTATCCAGTGTATAGCAAGTATTTTGTCTTGCCAGTGTTTTGCCCAAGTGCTAGAGCAAAAAATATTTTGTGCAGGGCCTCCTTTAATGATATTTCTGTGGAACTCATTGAGGCTGTGTGATTTCATTCACATCAAAGGGATGAGACACTGATTTACTGGTTGGTGGGTCTGTTTGTTTTCAGATGGCATTTAGAATAGCATATCAACATTTTTCTGGGAGGAAGTGAATAATGATACTGTGGGGGTGTTTTCAAGTGAAACTACTTCTTCTTTTTAAGTTATGAGTGAGTATTACTGACTTGTTTGTTTGTTTGTTTTGTTTGTTTGTTTGTTTTTAAGTGACTGGTACTATGCAAGAAGTCCATTTCTGAATTCCAAAATGAGTTCTGACATTGTGGGTCACCTCTATGAGCTCACTGATGTTCAGTTTGACTTGGCATCAAGAGGCTATGATTTAGATGCTGCTTGGCCAGTATTTGCCAGGTAAATATACACTTTGTCCATATAATTAGTCTATGACCAAGTTGGCCTTTTTTTCCTTCAGTTGTAAACCAGAAATTAGAGTTGATGCTCTGTAATGGAGTGCTTACACTAACTGCAGTTTAGGCCCAAATCCCAGGCTGATCTCACCTTCACAGACACATGAAGAAATGTTCTTATCTCCTGTTTTAAGAGCTGAGATGTGTAGTGACTGAACAGCCAAGCAGTGTTCACTTGCAGCAATGGTAGAGTAGACAATGTGGTCACCATGGCCTGATCTCACCTCAAAGCAGGGAATAAGAAAACCTAGTAGGTCTGTTGTATCAGTTTACTAGGGCTGCATCCTGCCAGCATCTGGTTGAGCCACCGGCTGCCACCACGCAGCAATACAACTTAGAGCAAAGCTACATTGCTTCTTGTGGATAAGGGAAGTTACAGCTACCAACCTCATAATATTTTACAGGTGCTTTTGATATCCCTATTTTGATTTTCCATCAGCTGCAGTGAGCGTTGGCCCAGACACCAGGTGCATATATGTCTTTTTGTATATGGTAGTTACAACTAGATAAATCTTACATGTTAGAGTAGAAAAACATGTATGTATGTGCTAAGACTACTCTTGTATATTGTTTCTCTGTGTGACCAACAGGAGGACACTGTCATCACTTGGATCCTCAGCATATTTATGGAAGCCCCCAAGTCGCAGTTCCAGCATGAGCAGTTTAGTGAGCAATTATTTGCAGGTAAGCAAATTACAAATAAATGTTTATGTGGCATGGTAGATCTGTAATTAATGGCACAGTTGCAGTTCTATGGTCATTATGACTCTTATAATGGTAAACTACAAGAAGAGTTCTTAATTAAAAGTAAGGGGACGTTTGCAGTAGCTAATTGAACTGAACATGGAAATCTTGAGGAGGAAAAAATATATCTGTTCAGAAGACTGCCTGCAAATATGTATATTTTCATTTATCTCTTGTGAAAACAAGCCACATTTTCTTTAAGTTGGTATCTTGCAGTGCTGTGAATGCAACATACAGTATCACTGTGTGTTAAGAACCTGAGCTTGCTCCCATTTGAGCACACCATTCAAATCTGTATTTAGTACCTCTTACACTTCATATTTTTTCCCTTTCTGTTCATTTAGGCGCAAGAATTTCCCTCCAGCCCTGATGCAAATAACTCGTTAAATGCTGAACACCTTGAGGGCTTTGAAGAGATGCGTGTAGAACTTGACCAGGCTGAGCTGAAGCAGAGGGAGCTTCAGGATCGCATTCACTACCTGGAAATGGAAAACCAGGAGCTCCAGGCAGCTCTTAGCCTTCAGAAAGAGCAAATACAGGTAGAAAAGGAGAAGAGCAATAACTATAGCGAGGAGAACTCCCGGCTGACAAAAATTATCACAGAGTTACAGAAGCAGTGTGAGGTCTCACACTCCACTCAGAGCACTGTTCATGACCTGCAGAAGTGCCTACAGTCACTGGAACTGAATGCAGCAGAGCAGCAGAAGGAATATTCAACAAAGCTGGAGCAGCTGGTGAACAGCAAGGAAGACTGTACCTCAGAACTGCAGGTATTGAATCAGGAGTTGGAGGCCTCTAAGGCTTTGGTTGCTATGAGGGATCTTGGCATCAATGAGCTCAAAGCCAAGCTGAGTTCCACAGAACAGAAAAACCTCAACCTCCTTGAAAAATTTGATGCTGCCTTGGAGGAAAAGGGATGGCAAGTCACAGACCACTGTGACTCTGCCCTGCAGATACAGGCACTGTTAGAGAAGCTTCAGGAGACAGAAAAGGAAAAGGCAAATATGCAAAGACTCAATGATGAACATGTGTCTCAGCTGAAAGCAGCAAGGGAGGAGCTGCACCTGAAAGAAGAGGCACAGAAGGAACTGCAGTCCAGATACAATCGCCTCACTGCTGACTCCAAAGAAGAGAGTGAAAAGCTGCTTGGGAGCCTGGAAACCATGGCAAAGGAAATGGATGCACTTCAGAAGGCCCTGACCCTGAAAGAAAAGGAGATGACTGAGCTCCAGAGCCAGGGAATGGGGTCGCTGGCTCAGGTGGGGTCATTGGAAAAAAACCTTGAGGAAGCAAGGAAAGAAAAGGAGAAACTTGAGGAGGAGTATGGTAGGAGGGAAGGAACACTGAAACAGGAAGCCCAGTCACAAGCAGAGCAACTTGAACTACAGGAAGGTCGCTTAACTAAGGTGAGTCAGACTGTGTGTAGCCTTGAGGAGCAAAACCGGAAGCTCTTGTCTGAGAAAGAACATCTGTGCCAGAAGGTCAAGGAGCTGGAGGAGCAGATGGAGCAGCAAAACTCTGAAGTGAGTGAAATGGGTGACAAGAGCAGGAAGCTGAAAGCAGAGAATGAAAATTTGCAGCAGTCCAATAAGAAGATGGAAGGAAAGCTGACAAGTTTGGAAGCTTCTAACGCTTCCCTGGAAGCTGAGGTGGCCAGGCTGAGAGCCTCTGAGAAACAGCTTCAGAGTGAGATAGATGATGCCCTGGTATCAGTTGATGAAAAAGAGAAGAAGCTCCGGGGTGAGAACAAACAGCTGAATGAAGACTTGCAAAATGCCAGGAGGCAAAGCCAAATTCTGGAGGAGAAACTAGAGGCTCTGCACTCAGACTATGAAGAACTAAAGCGAAGAGAAGAGACCACCAAGGAGTCTTGTGCCTCACTTGAAGGACAGCTGAAGAGTGCCAAACAGCATAGTTTGCTAGTGGAAAAAAGTCTAGGCACCTTGAAGGAAAGCAATGAGTGTCTACAGTCACAGCTCAGAGAGAAGGAAGTAGAGTTGCGAGGCATGGAGAGTGTTTGTGAACAACTAAGAGTGGAAGCTGAAAGATACAGGAAAAAAGCAGAGACTTTTGAGGTAGAAAAGCTCAGTGTTGAAAAGACATGCCTTCATCAGACAAAACTTATTGAATCCCTCACATCAGAAGCAGACTCGGTGGAAAAACAACAACTACAGCAGGCAGCTTCTCTGGAGAAGGAGGCAAAAGAGCTGGCTTCCAGACTGACTATCAGTGAAGAGCAGTTGGAAGTCAACCGAGGTGAAGTGTCCAGGCTGCAAGCAGAAGTCCTCAACCTGCGAATCAAGCTTCAGCAGACCACTGGTGAGAGAGAGCAGATGAGAGGTGAGCTGGCAGTCACAGAGACTGTCCTGAGTGAGCAGAAAGTTCTTGTCCAGCAGCTGAAAGAGCAAATCGAGTCACTCAACAGAAACCATGTGCAAGAACTGGTGCAATGTAAAGAAAGAGAAGAAATGCTGAAAAAAGAACAGGAGACAGCAGCCCATCAAAAAGCTGAACTGGAAAATAATTTGCTAAACCTGAAAGAGGAGCTATCCAAGGTCAAGCAGTACTTGGAAGCTGCTAGAATGGAAAATGAAGAAAACAAAGATCTCCTCCACAGGACCAACACAGATATGGCTGAACTTGGTATTCAGATTTGTGCCTTGACCTCTGAAAAGGTGGATGCAGAAGAGCAGTTAGCCCAGGCCACAGAAAGGCTCAAAGAACTGGAGGAACAGGCAGCAGCGCAAAAGGAGAAGCTGAACCTTGACATCTCTGATCTCAGACAGGAGAACAAAGGCCTGCAAGAGAAATTAGAGGAGGCTCAAATATGTGCTGCAGCTGTCCCAAGTCTGCAATTGCAGCTGGAGTCAGTAAAGAAACAATCACAGAATTTCCAAGAGACCAGCCAAGAAGAGCTGTCTGCAGTAAAATTTCAAATGAGCACAGAGATTCTAAATTATCAGACAAAATTCAAGGTAAATTAATGTGATTATTATAGCTGAGGAACCTATGCAAGCTGTCCCCTGCTTTACCACCTGCTGCAGCAATTACTGCATGAAATCCTAAGGTTTATGTTGGTCAGGCTCTGAGACTAGCATGCAACCAGCCTCAGCCTGGAAATCTGAAAATGTCTCAACACTTATGACCTAGGCCTATTTGAGGTAAAAAAAACTCTTCTGAGTTTTTTGGAGATGTATAGTGTGGCCATCCGAGCACAGTGGAGCAGCCATGTGATATGGAAAAGCCAGCCAGCAATGGAGAGTGTGGTGATTTCTTATGTTGGGACTGAAGGTGGCATCTTCTGTAACTTCCCTCTGGTCACAGCTGTGATTTTTTAATTTATTTATTATTTTTTGGTACAAACATTGCAAGATCTGTTCTCCACATCTGTTACACTGCTCCTCCTTAAAACTGATTTTGATGAAAGCAAACTTAGACTGAGACTAGATACTTTTGCAGTTAATTCCCTCCTGTATTTCTGCTTTCAACTGCTCAAGGTGGCAGCTGAGAAGATAAAAGTTCTGCTTTCAGAAAAACAGGACTCAGCCCTATGTATGTGAAACAGCACACCTACAGGCCGGAAATTCTCATGTGTTTGTTTTGCCATTCTGAGATAATGTTGAAGACTGACAGTTATCAGAGGCTTATGCCAATGGTGGTATCCAGCAATGTTGCTTTATGCTTCATTTCCACAGAGGTTTCTTAAACCTCAGGTATTATTTGGGCTAACTCACTCTTTTGAGCCAAAACATTGGACTCTCATTTTGTTGAGAACTGTAATAGCCCACAACAATTAGCAGTAAAACACAGCTAGTCTGCCACCACAGAGGGGAGCTTCCTTGCATTCATGATTTGGGTGTCTCTTCAGCTGGTTTTCTTGAGCCTGACGGTGGTGCTGCATTTATCCCATACATGGCAGTCAGAGCACTTGGTGGATGAAGGTGTGGCTGCTAGAGGAATGCTAACTCCTGACTCAATCTCTCTGCTAGGCTGTCAGTGAAGAGTGTGTGAAAGTAAGAGAGCAACTTGAGGAGCAGAAGCGACAACAGCGTGCTGCTGAGGAAGAGATTACAGAGTTACAGGTAGGTGCTTGGTCTGATTAAAAGACAGAGGTGTTTGTGTCATCAGGCATTAGTGCTCTAATTGGGAAGGCAGGCAGCGTTTCTGATGACTGGCTGCGAGTCTGGGAATGCCCTTGAATAAATACAGGTCCTGCAAACAAAATACTTGGCAGCTGAAAGTTAGCCACTGAAGCAGAGAGTATGAAAAGCACAGTGGCATTTAGGATTTGTGCTGCTTGGAAAGCAAGTTAGGTTTTGTGTAAGACCAGGTTATGCATATGCTTCTTAAAGGGGGGTGCAGGTTTAAATGGTGTCTGTCTTAGACCCTGCTTGCCCAGTGCACACAGCCACGTGTGTGGATCCAATTGTTTGCAGACTGCAAGTGGCACTGGACCAGTGAATTAATCTTGCTGTGAAATAACCCAGCCAGAAAAAAAAAAAAACAGGTCTTTTAAAATGCATTTATCAACAGATGAGTTAGGAGGGTTGCACTGAGGTGTAAGGAACCCAGAAAGAAGAAAGTTAAAGTTATTAAACCTGGCCCTGCCTGCTAGCCTTTAGATGCAGTTATATATGTTCCCTGAGGATTCCCAAGTTTGGCAGATTTCTCTGGAGAGTCTAGCTGTAAAAGAAGTTTTTGTTTCCATTGTCCTTCATGTTCCACATAGCTTTAATAAGGAGCATTTTTCTAATTTTTAATTTACTTTTTATAAAACTTTTGGATGGTGAAAAAACTTTCAGGACATACACGTTTGCCATTATCTTTGAGAGATTTTCCTTGATAAGGAGGCAGAAGCTCAACTGACATGGATTAATAAGAATTACAGGCTTAATACTGTCTACTTTAGAGTCTATGCCTTATTCAGTATGACAGAAATAATCAATCACTAGTACACAACTAATTAGTGTTTGCTTCTACAACAGCATCTTAATTGGTGGTTTGGTTTAACTGATTCTTTTAAAGCATTATTTAGGAGACTTGGTAATTGTCCAATGATTGGTAAAGTGTGTTTTTCATGTGTAAGGAAATACAGTAACTTGTTTTACTAGGCTGCAAACACAAGTTTGTCTAGAAAGCTGGATGAAGCAAGAGAGCACCTGTCTGAATCAGAATCTGCTCGGCTGCAGAAAGAAGAGGAGGTGACATCTCTGAGAGAACTCTTGGCAAGGTGGGAGTTTGTCTTCTTTACACAAGGTGTTAATTGTAAGTCAAGCAAGGGGCCCATAATCAAAGCATGTTGAAAATTGCTGTGGTTTTCTGGAAGCAGTATATGCCATGGGGTGTATATAGGGCAAATAGTGCATGAGCTCTGATGAGGAATATCAGATTGACACTTCAGATGAGAAATATGTAAATTGCACAGCACAAATGTATGCAAGGCTTACGTTTCATTGTGCTGTTCATTTAGCTGAGGACATAAATTCATTGTTTGTCTTTATGAAACTGAAAGACATTTTATAACCTCCTTTTACCTTATAGGCTAGTCCCCAAATTAAAACACCAGTATTGGGGGTTTTGTTTTTTTTTCATAAGGGGTGGAAAATTTGTGCTTTTTGACAGTTTCTATTTTCTCTCCTCACCATTAAATCATTAAGAATTATTTGAATGGGGCCACATCCTGCATATCTTTGCCTGTTTTAAGTATCTCACGTGTGCTATGTTTCCAAGGTCTGTAGTGTGGGCCTGTGTGGTGCAGATTATCTGGCCATCCAAAACAGATCTTCAGGAGCTCACACAGAGTCTAATGGGTTAACCACAGCCTATGTGTTTTTACATTTTTGTGCTGATATCCTCTGCCTTTGTGGAAAGATGATTCTTGATCTATGCTGAGGGTTGTCAGTAGCAAATCTAACTCATCAAAATATTTGCATTCAGTTGAATTGGTGGAATGAGTTCATACCAGCTCTGGCCTTCGTGTTGTGTTGCTGTAGCCTTTTTGATCCATTGCTAGGATGCACAGTACTGAAGTTACCATCTTGTCAAGCCAAGACTTAAGTTCTTAGAAGCTTCCTGGGGACACTGCTTTCCACTGACTGTGCAGTGAACTGGGTTGTCTTAACCTTTAGTTTTTTATTTGTATTTAAAGAATATAGTGAGAAACTGGTTTGCTTCCCTTCTGTGAACATGGAGGAGTATGTGTTGAATGGCCCATTCCTGTGCAACCTGATGCAAATGCTGGGCAACCTGTGGCTATGGGACTTTCCCCATGTAGCTCAGTTTGCAGCTGCTGATGCTTTTAGCTTCCAAGGGCATAACTTTTCTTCCTAGCATGGTAGCCATCATAAGCTTCACTATAAGTAGGGCATCCAAGAAATTGCTGGTTGCTGACTGTGTTCACCAGATAATGGATCTGTGTGCACTTTCAATGATGCAGAAAACTGGAGACATTCTGATTAGCTCTAAAAAATATGCATACTGAGAACAATTTCACTGAAACTACCTGTTTGTCAGGGTGGAGGACCCCTTTCTTCCATGGGGAAGACTTGAATGCACGTGACCTAAAAACAATTCTTAATTGCCTTTGTATTTGATCAGGATCCAAAAGGAAGCTGATGAAGCAAAAGAGAAGGCACTGTATTACAGTGAGAAGCTCAGCAAGGTGGCAGCAGACAAAGATAGCAGTGACCAGAAGTTATTTGCTGAACTGGATGACCTGACAAGAACAAAGCAGTTCCTTGAAGAACGTTTGATAGAACTTATCAGGTTGGTATCAAATTAAACAGCAAGCAGAAATTAAAATCCTAGTTTAGGATTTAAGGGATTTTCTGTCTAGGTGGTTCAGTCTTGTATTCCTGAATTGAAGATACAGGTAATGGCCAAGTTCATCAGCAGTTGTAATTTTGCATTTCCATAGTGCAATCAAAAATATAACACCTAATATAATCTCCTCCATAATTTGCTCTCTCTTTTGCAAAAATACGTAGTTCTCTATATGGCATGTATTTCTCTCCCCCTCTTCCCAAGAGCTTTGGGTTGGTTTCTTGATCTAAAATTCTGAAAGCTTCTTAGAAATTACAGCAAAGCAATTTTTACTGTGACACTTTCACCAACATTCAAATTGAGGTTGGTTAACATTAAACCAGCACTGATAATCTCTGTGTGTTTTCCTTTTAACTATATCTCTGCAGAGATAAGGATGCTTTGTGGCAAAAATCAGATGCTCTGGAGTTCCAGCAGAAGCTTAGTGCAGAGCAAAGGTGGCAGGGGGACACAGAGGTTAATCATTGCCTGGACTGCCAGAGAGAGTTCTCATGGATGGTGCGCCGACACCACTGCAGGTCAGTTTGTTGAACTCTGCTATGCTCTTCAGAAGAAAAGTCCAGTATGATCGTTTACATGGATGAAATACTTCTTAATGTTCACAGTTTGTTGGTCAAAATCATTGTAGAAAGAACACATGAGATCACGAGGGTGTAGGAGACATTAATGAAAGGTCCCTTGACATGTATTAAGACAAATACCTGAATGCAACTCTGCCTTGGGGAGTCTGTCAGTTTCTCTTTTCTGAAAACTAAGAGAATCACACCCTACATAGTCTGTTTCTTTGAAGGACTGTGTTTTTAATATATTTATAATTCTCTGTGCATGCTGAAAACAATATCCACTAAGATGGTTTTGTTGTTGTGATAGAAATAGTCCAGAACAAATCCAACATGCTGCGCAATTGTGTTTGCTTGCTTGCTCTAGATATGTTCAGAGATAATTACTGATTGCAGAGTAATCTTTTTTAAAAAGTTAATACTAAATATTTCCTATACATTTAGCCTGCTTGGAGTCACAAGTTACCTGATCTAGATTTATTCAAGTATATGTAAGTGGATACTCATTTTTGCTAAAATCTGTGATACCTGCTCATATTTTCACCTATTAATGATTTAAATTATCATGAAAAACAAAACCACTAAGACTTCACAAATAAAAGTTATCCCTGCTGGGTGCTTTTCTCCATTGAAGTTTTAATGTTTTCATTAAAATGTGTTGACAGGTTTAATACTGAGAGTCTGCAGAGTAGAGAGGGCAGGATGAATGTACCTGTATGTGTCCAGTATTGTTCCTCCTTCCCTGTTTGAAGGGGAGAAGGGTGATTACTCAGGAGATAAATATAGGCATGTTCTAACAGTCCTTAAAATGAAATAGAGTTTTGCTCTAACTGAACATGAGATTCAGTCTGTGTAATGTTTTAAAATATATTTCCTTTGTATTTAATATGTATCATTTGTTTTGCATATTTGTGGGTATTTAATTGGTTTGTGTCTTTATATTTAAATAACTATATATATCTTTCTATTATTTCTATGGGGTTTTTTTTCTATTTTCCATATTTATTAAGCAAAGTATGAATGTGAATTTCTGTCCTGTGTTTGTCTAGAAAACTTGCTTCACCTCAGAACGCAGTACAGACTGTGTGGTGAGTTCTGCCATGGATGTAGCATTTGGATTTTGTAGAGAACAAGACCATTATGACAGAGCCCCAAGCTCTGTCCTGTAGATATGTTCCACCTGTATGTGGTACCATTCTAACACCTTTGGTTTTGAATCATTTCTAGAATGTGTGGTCGCATTTTCTGCTACTACTGCTGTAACAACTACATGGTGACAAAGCCAGGTGGAAAAAAGGAGCGCTGCTGCAGAGCTTGCTTTAGTAAGCCTAGAGTCATTGTGGACAGTACAGATGACTCTGGATCCAGTGCCAACCAGGAAGGATCACCAGCTTCATTGGAATCACCTGTGTCACCATCTGAGAGGAATTTGGGTTAGTGTATTGTTTGCATGCTGTGGAGGAGTAAGTAGGATTGTTAGACATTCTCCAAGAAACCACATGGTCACATCCTGCTCCATGTACCTGCATGTTTGTGGAGTGTATTCAGGGTGGGACTCAGTGCTATCTTTGAATTTGGTCCATATTAACAGAAATTTGCATGTATACTAAATGAGTGTTGGTCAGCCTGAGGTTTTCAGTTGGTTGTAGTGATTACCTAGTGCTTCTGTAATAGTAGAGGAATGGGCCAGTCTTCCCCTTACAAGTTTGGCTTCTTTACTTTCCAGACAATCAGCTAATATTTTTTATATTTCTTTTCATGTTGTTTTATGGCACACTTGCAAATGAAGCCTCTAAACCACCAGATGATGCAGCATTTGATATAATCACTGATGAGGAGCTGTGCCAAGTACAGGAATCAGACTCTCTCCATGATGAAAGTCAAATGGAGAGAGATTCTCTGGATCAAAGTGTGACAGATCTGTGAGTAAACACTGCTTGCTTCATGGAGAGGGGACTCTTGGGTTTTGTTTGGAGTGGTGGGGTTTTTTTCCCTTCAGTGGATGTAGCCAACCTCTACATAAAAAGAAGACACTTATGTTCCCAGGCACATGGTCAGTAGACCAACACAAAATAATTTGTGCCTATTTGCACAATTAGCATGAAATCTAATAAATCCAAACAGTTTCATCCTCTTCCACCATCTCCTTCACCACAGCATAGAGTAGTTGTCCCTGTTCTGGGCTGTCATCAAGCCAGCTGTCACCCTTAAAATCGGCTTGCAGGTCACACTGGAACACTGGCCATTCGTGCCTGACTTATAATAGGAGCTAAGTGATACTCTGTCAAACTTACCGTTACTTAATATCAAGAGAGCAAGGAGGTGGAGAAAAGATAAGGAAAGATGTGCCCTTTTTATGACAGGTTTCATTGAGCTGAGTGTGAAGCAACTGGTCTGTGTCTGTAGGATTCCATAGTACCTTAAAGATAACAGCTTACAGAATAGAAGAAGAACAGAAATTGTACAGCTAAATCTTGCATAAGATTGTTCTTTTTTTTAAGAAAATGAGAGTGAATGACATCTTAGTGATTTTTTTACATCTGTTTCTATTTGTACATCAATTAGCAATGAGGAATATCTAAGGCAATCTGATTATCTGAATACTCAGTTTGCAAGCTAAGTTGTGGTGTTACAGTTTAATGTACATCCATGCTTATGCAAAATACAGGTTTGCTATTTTTCAGATATTTTCACATATTTAAAAAAAATTATTTTCTGTAAAATCTATTTCAAAAACGCTTATATATTTGAGAAGAAAAAAGAGAAATTTCACCTAAATTCTGGACTTGTTTTGCTTCTGAGCAGCAAATTAAGCACAATAAATTGAACTGCTAAACTGAAAATAGCCACGGAGTAACCAGCTGGCTGCTGAGAAAGCAGACCTAGACTCTTTTGACCTCAGCAGACCCATTTCCGGCATAAACCACAGTGACTTGCAGTTTGGGTAGAAGGCAGACTGTCCAGACTTGTATATTTGGAAAAAAATTTCAAAATTCTACATTTTTATTTCTTGCTAAATAAGTTCTATGTATTTAGCCCGTTTTGTAGACTGTTGACACAGAGCTTATTCATGTTTATCATGCATTGGGCAGGCTTGAATGGACTGAGCTTCACAATATTCTTGTGAAGTTAGTGCTTTTTTGTTTTGCAAAGGGACAGTTTGCAGTGGAGGATTTTTGGTTTGTTTGTTTTAGGAAGAAAAAAAGGTGTAATGTAGTACTAGTTCATGCTCTCTATCCCAGGTGAGTTACCTCTGAGAAATGCAACCAGGAGAAAAGAAATAAATGTGTGTCACCATTTTTTTCAGTTTGGAACTGGGCTAGATTAGCATTGTTCCACAAAGTATTCAAGCTGAAAGGAAAGATTGACACCAATTATGGAATACTATTCTTCAAGGCACCCATCCTACTTGTATCATGTAAACTTTTAAAGACTGTCCGTCTCCCCTTGTTCACAGACCATAGGCAGGAAAGACAGGAAACAGGGTTTTATCCTCTGTTGCTCTTGGTTCATTAGTGTTACGAGCTGAGGGAGAGTCCTACTGCAGTCATCCTTGGAGCTTGAGACACTCTGCGGGGAAAGCAGGCCACACCTGCCCTTCCCTATGGCACTTGTAATGCTGGAAGGGAAGGTCTCACTAGCCTGAACGGTGGAGGAGAATGCAGGAGAGTGGCCTTACACTGTGGATGACTGAGCACCTCAGGTTGTTGCTGTGGTTTTGTGTTATGGGAGAGATGCAGAAGCTGATGTGTGAGTCAGATGATGGCGCGGCACGTGCTGAGTAAAAAAAGCAGAGTGTTGACTGTGACAGCACTGAAGTTTTCTCACTTGTTTCTGTGGGGAGGGGTATATGTGCACCCAAAGCCTGAGTGTAGCTTAGCCCATGACCAGATAATGCAGCATTTGATACTACAGGTGTTATAGGGTAAAGGCCCATAGCCTATGTACTGATAATATGCCAGCGTGTTTTCTCCCACCTTCCAGAGATCTGCAATTCCGGGACTTTGTAAGCTATGGGTTTCACTGCTGCAGATTTCTTGGCCGTACTGGACTGGTGGACTACCTTGACTTCATATAGACTTTCAGTCTTTTTTTTTTTTCTTTTTTTTTTTTTTTTTAATGTCCAGTTAAATGTGGCCTAGCAATCTTGAAGTTTAAGTAAAAATCCCCTGGCATCCAAGTAACGTTCTCTTTGCATGAAACTGAATATATGGGTTAGAATTTGCTTTGATACTGTGCCTGAGGTAGGCAGAAAGGATCCAAGACTGTGCTTGCTGAATACATGTATGAGGAATGCTTACAAATAAGTAAGTTTTCAGGCTGAACTTCTTTATTGGGATTCTGCTGAAAATAGTCCAAGCTATTCCGTTTTTTTTTGCCAGAGATTTGAACTAATTGGTGCAGTTCTAAAAGGGAGGGAGATGAGCAGCCAAGAAAGGGAAGAGAAAGGAGGCTGACAGGTCCAAACAGACAGAATATGCTGTGTTGACAGGGGGTTTTTTTATTGTCTCGCTCTGAGTGTCTGGGTGAGGTTTTTGCACTGGCCTTACCTCAAAAATGGGTGTGAGTCCTTGCTGGACTGGAAATGAGAGCTGGTGCTTAAAGCAGTGAATTGTCTTAAAGGACATTTTCTTTTCTTCTTGTCCCTTTTGGTGTTTACTGTTTTATTTTTCATGTGTTCTCTTTACTTAACCATGTCCCTGCAGTTCTTTCCTTGAAGCTACATGAAATTATTACAACAGCATTAGTTAATGACAGCAGATTTTCAGAGAATGCCTTTATTGGTACAAGTCAGTTCAGAACCAAATAAAACTCATCTTGGTCATAAGCTGCACAGGCATGTGGCTAGGTAAAATAGATGTCATACCAGCATCACTCTGACTGTGAAGCAGCTCTTTTCCTGTGGTTAGGATTAATCAGCTTCATGCTTTCAGGTCTGTAATGTGAGTTTGGAGCAACCTGATTGAAATCTTATTGTGAGAAGCTGAGAGAAGTTGTGCAATTGCAGTACCTCCTGCTGCTTCAAGACTCATGGGTTCTCTTTTGAAGGGTTGTTTTTTCTGAACTCTCTTATTTCTAAAGCATTCACATTCGTAGATTGTGCTGTAAAACAAAGGTCAGCATATTGCATAGCAAGTGCCAGAGTTCCCACGGTAAACCAGTGCACTGTATTTCCATTATAACATATCAAAGAAATTACATGCCTGCAGGAAATGTTGCAGCAGCAGAATCGAGATAACAGATGGCAGAGGTGTACACAAAAAAAAAGTAAAAAGAAAGAAAAAATTACCACTGCCCTATTACAGAAGCAAAGACTTTATTCACACCTTAGTACTGCTTTTGGTAGAAAGGACATCTCTGCCTGACTGTGGTTGCTTTGTTTGGGATTCTTTTTTCCTTAATGACTCATAACACACTTCCCTGACCTAATTACAGCTCACATGGCCGGGCAAGGTGCCAGCAGAGCCAGAAGAGGGAACTGTGTGGTCTGGAGAGTTCCCTGCCCTGCGCAGAACCAGCCGGGGATGGGAGCACCTCTCACCACCCTCTGCTGGCAAAGCCTGCCTTGCAGTTGTGTGTTGGGATAGCAGCTTTACTTGCCACACAGACGTGAGAACACAGCACGTTCCTTCCTGCTGTTATTTTTAAGGATATTGCACCATTTCGCTGTAGGAGAAATGAGAGATTCTGTAGTACGAAAATGATTGCCTAAGCAGCTGTTTTCTAGGGGCGAAAAAAACACAATGTTTCTGGCAAGGGTCAGGTACCACTGAGCTGCAGTGATTTGTAGGAAGGACTGAGTGATAATGGGGAGAAAAGGAACATCCAGAGTGAGCATGGTTATTGCATGAATGGTTTGAAACACCTTAAACCTGTTTTTTTTTAATGTTGTGATGCAAAGGACTTACAGCCTTTGGGCTAAACCCAACTTTGCCTTCAGCAGCAGCAGTCCACAGATGCATAAAGCCCTCACTCTTCTCTCCAATATTCCTTCTTTCTTTTCCCTGTTCCAGTCTCCACCCCTGTTCTCCTACTCTCTGCAGGAGCTTTTGCATACTCTGCCCTGCACTGCCCCCCATGCACTTTTTTACCTCCCACTGGTAAATGAGAAGAGGTCAAAATTAGAGAATGTGGGAATAAGGAAGGACAACAATTAAGGAATCCTCAGCTTTCTGGCAAGGAAGCAGGGTGCCAAGGGGATGCCAGGAAAAACAGTCTGGAAAGATGTAATGATGCAAAGAATGCATGGGAATTAGGGTGTGAGGCTTTGCATCTAAGGAAACACTGCTCAGTGTTACAGCTCACATGTGGTGGGTATAATGTCCCTAGTGTTGACAGGTGGCCCAGTCATCTGGGATCATAAGCTCTGTTATCAGAACTGAGATACAAGGATGTGTATGGGAGATTCAGGCCATCAACCTGACAGTAGATGGAAGGAAGGTGAAAATGCTATTTATTATAGAAATTTTAGATGAATGCTAAAAGAGTATGGGTGGAGACCATCTCCCAAGTTGGAAAATACAAAAAAAAAAAAAAGCCCAACCACACATGAAACTCAGCATGAAGATTCAAGTGTGTATACTTTTAATCCAGAAATTCTCATTAAATTAATGAGCTAAACTAAAATCTGTAATATCTTTGAATCAAAACTGCTGTATTATTTTGTTAACAAACACATATCTTGGAAAACCAGCAGGCCAGAGGTTTGGCGAATGTCTCCAGGCCCTCTGGAGTCACGATGTCCAAGTCAGCTTTATGTAATGAAGAATGATGTTTTATCTCAGCTTCTTACACCTTTTGAAAATCTCCTTCAGTTATCTCAGTTATCACCTTTGTCTTAAGATCAGCTCTGACCAGGAAAAGCAGGAAACACTAAGTATCATGATTAAGACAGGTTGGCTTAAAGTTGATTGCGGTGTCTATACTAATGGGATTTTATTGCCTCTTTCATGCAGGCTCCCTATCTCAGTATTTTAAAAACAGGGAAAAAGGTTTTTTTTAAAAAAAGCTGTAAATAATTGCCAGATTCTCTAGGCAGTTTTACAGCAGGTACAGGGTTGTTGCATCTGCATTATGTGAGGCAGTAAGTTTTAGAGCATTTGTCAGTGTCAAGGAAGTATAGGGTTACTGAGTAAGAATACATATGGCAACTACAGAAAATAGTTTTTTTTAAAAGATGTGTATTTTGAAAATTCATGGTGTGTGGTAAGGTTCTAATAATTGGTGAGAAGCAGATGAGCATGGCTAGCATGGGAATAAAATAGCCAAGGATCACTTGGGACACTCCAAGAACAAACTTTGTGTGATGGTTTGCATATTCTTCCTGACATACTGCCTTACTGGTACTAAAGACCTCGCTAAAAATAAACTGTGGTACAGGAAATGCTAGTGAGAACACTCAGATCAAGAGAAAGATTAATTTGCCTTGTGTCATTAGTTTGGTTTGGCTCATATGTGCTTTGGTGGCAAAAATAATAGTATCAAGTTGGTCAAAGCTGATAGACCTTAGAGTTAACATTGAGGCGTACAAGTTCAGAGTATATAAGCCCTGTATCATCTGACGTGCCATGGTGCCAAAAGGCTGCTTCTGAGCAGCAGGTTATGCTGAACTGTGCATTGGTTTTAAGAATTGATCTAAAGAATGTGTGGCAATTATTACACTTGATGGTTCAGAAGCATATTTAAGTGATACTACATTTTATTAGCTTCCACTGGTTTTCACAGAATCACAGAATTGCTGGAGTAGGAAGGGACCTCTAGAGATCATCTAGCCCAACTCTCCCACTGAAGTAGGATAACCTAGAGCACTTTACACAGGACTGTATCCAGGTGGGTTTTGAATATCTCCAGAGATGGAGACTCCACAACCTTCCTGGGCAAGCCTGGTCCAGGGCTCTGTCACCCTCACTGTAAAGAAGTTTTTCCTCATGTTTAAATGGAACTTCCTATGTTCTCATACCCATTGCCCCTCCTCCTGACACTGGGAACTACTGAGAAGAGCTTGTCTCCATCTTCCTTGCACTCACCCTTTAGATACTTATATACATTAACAAGGTCTCCCCTCAGCCTTCTCATCTCCAGGCTAAAGAGTCCCAGCTCTTTCAGCCTTTCCTCATAAGACAGATGCTCCAATCCCCCTAGCATCTTTGTCACCCTCCTCTGGACTCTCTCTCATAGTTCCCTGTCTCTCTTGAACTGGGGAGCCCAGAACTGGGTGCAGTATTCCAGATGGGGCCTCACCAGGGCAGAGAAGAGGGAGAGAATGACCTCTCTTGACCTACTGGCCACACTCTTCCTTATGCAACCCAGGATTCCATTGGCCTTCTTGGCACTAAGGGTACACTGCTGGCTCATGGATAATTTACTATCTACCAGGACTCCCAGATCCTTCTCCTCTGAACTGCTCTCCCTCAGGTCATCCCCTAACCTATATTGGTGCTTGGGGTTCTTTCTCCCCAGGTACAGGACCCTATACATGCTCTTATTGAACCTCATGAAGTTCTTCTCTGCCCAACTCTCCAGCCTGTCCAGGTCATGCTGGATGACAGCACAGCCCTCTGAAGTGTCAGCCACCCCTCCCAGTTTGTTATAATCAGTGAACTTGCCGAGGATACACTGTTGCCTCGTCCAGGTCATTGATGAACACATTGAACAAGACTGGACTGAGTATTGACCCCTTGGGGACACCACTGGTTACTGCCCTCCATCTTGACCCTGATCCATTGATCACCACCCTCTGAGCTCTGTCACACAGTCAGCTCTCAATCCACCTCACTGTCCACTCATCAAGCACACTCTTCCTGAGTTTCCTAACAAGGATGTTATGGGAGACAGTATCAAAAGCCTTGCTGAAAGTAGATAACATCCACTCATCTAGCCAGCCAGTAATGATGTCATAGAAGGCAATCAGGTTGCTCAAGCATGATTTCCCCTTGGTGAATGCAAGCTGACCTCTCCCAATGACTTTCTTTGCTTTCACATGTTTTGTGATGACATCTAGAATGTTTTTTTCTAACACCTTCCCAGGGACAGAGGTGAGACTAACCAGCCTGTAGTTCCCTAGGTCCTCCTTCTTGCTCTTCTTGAAGACTGGAGTGACATTAGCCCTCCTCCAATCCTCAGGCACCTCTCCTGTTGTCCATGACCTCTGAAAGATGATGGAGAGTGGCCTAGCATTGACATATGCTAGCTGTCTCAGAACTTGTGGATGCATCCCATCAGGGCCCTTGGATTTATGGATGCCCAGTGTGGCTAAGTGGCCTCTAACCGAGGGAAAGTCCTCCTTTCTCCAGACCTTATCTCTTATGTCCAGGGTCTAGGATTTAAGAGGTCTGGCTTTTGCAGTGAAGACTTAAGCAAAGAAGGCATTCAATAACTCTGCCTTCCCTGTGTCATCAGTCGCAAGGGCATTCACCTCATTCATCAGCAGGCCTACATTTTCCTTGTTCTTCCTTTTTTTATTGATGTACTGGAAGAAACTTTTCTTGTTGTCCTTGATGGTCCTTGCCAGCTTTAGTTCCAGGTGGGCCTTATTTTTCCTCATTGCATCCCTGCATTCTCTTACAACATTCCTGTATTCCTCCCAAGTGGCCAGACCTGTTTTCCACATTCTGTAAATTTCCTTCTTTCCTCTAATTTTTTTTCCAGAAGACCCCTACTCATCCATGCAGGTCTCCTACCTTGGTTTTGGAAGGAACCAACCAGTTGGTTCCCTGTATATAAGAATCCTTGTAATTTTTCTGGGAATGACAGCCTAATTGGCTCCGTTATCAACCTGCTGAAATGGCGAGAAGCAAAGTAAGTATCAGTTAGAAAATCTCTAACTTACTTTGAAACTATCAACATTTGTTTGCTGACCCTCAGACTCATTATTCTCCCTGTGTCCCAGCCCTGTAACTCATAGCACAGTGTTCATCCAGACCATGCACCCTTTCTGTGGTAAGGAGGGGATGACAGGTTCTTCCATGTACTTCCTCTGGTCTCCTGGACACATCAGGGTGGGGAGGAGACATCCTGCTTTGTCATCCTGTAACAGCTTCTTCAGTGTATTTGGGTTTGAATCCTCCTATATTTCTTGTAGGAAAATAAGATACATGCTAGTCATTCTAAAGTGATAAAATGTGTCTTATGCATCATTGTCAGAGTAAGGGACTGGATAATATGCTTGCAAAGCACCTCACAGGTTAAATCCAGGGCAAATGTTATACCCCTGTGCAGGCTTTGTTTAAGTGAAGAGTTCGGATTGTGTTGCTTATGTCTGCCCTCCATCAAGGCCTCTACCTGCTATAGAATCTTTCAAACCTGGTAGCACCTCAGTAGGGAATTCATCTTAAGACTGTTGAAGAGATCTTCTGGGTGTATGTATTCCTCTTAGGTCATGAAACCAGGATAGGAACAGTTTTATGTTTATGTGGTGTGGTCAGCAGATTGGGGCCACAAATGCAATGCAGAAAGTAAGAATTCTAGATTTTTGCATCATGGCTATCAAAACGTTTCTATTTTTAGGGAGACATCAGACACAGATGATGTTTGACCACATACTACTCAGAGAATCATGGCTTTCTTTTTTTCTCTTGTCCTAGAAACAGCACGTGCAATTCTTCAACCTTTGATGAATCAGAAGAATGGCAAGTTGCTCAAGATGCTGAGATATGCTTGTTGAAGTCTGGAGAAATCATGTAAGCAGAACAGTTTCATTATTATCAGGCTGAAAGAATGAAGGCTGAGCTCAGATATCAGTGATGTGAGCACAAGTCTTGTAGACTTCTGGAAGAGCTACTTACTAGTGTCCCACAGTAGAATTTAGTCTGAGGGAAAGCAGAGAGTATAGCTTAATTAAACAGAGCAGCAGCAGTCAGCCAGGGTTTGGTCCTGGAAAGCTTTAAGTGCAAGTGAGGAGTAAGAAGAAAAGATTTGTGTCCACATCACATCAGAAAACCTTCCTTCCTATTATTATTGCAGGAGATGCTATGAAGAGGACAGGGGCTCAGAGAAAAGGCTGTGTAGTTCTAGTAGTCTCTGAAATAAACAGAAAGGGGAAGTCAGGGAGAGCTGTGCTAGTCTGACCTTTGTCACAAGGAGGGAATTCATGGCCTTTTGGAGCATGTGTCTAATTTTTATTGTTAGCCCCTACTTACTTGCTTCACAGAAACTGTCTTGACTGCTCTGGCTGATATAGGCCCTAGCATAAAATGTTCAGCTGAGCCTCTGTTAAACATCTGTGAACTCTGGGTGCACAATTCTCTGCATGTATCCTGCTCAGAAATCAATAGTTACATGCAGTAGTGATACAGAACATCATTTTCACAGCCAAGAAGGGAATCTAACATGAAAATGCCAGAGACCTGGAGAAATTTCCTTTAGCTCACTGTCCCCTTAAACCTAGCGCTTAAATTTTGGCTTAGTTATGGGGAATGTTTTAAACTTTTAAATGCAGAGAGATAAATTAATCCATGCTTCAACATTCTTGCTGCAGTTCAGAGGACCTGGTAAATGAAGCAGTAACTAAAATCATAGCTGGGCTGTAGGGCAAAACCAAGACTGATCATTAGTTTATTAAAATCAAAGATCACCTGAGACACTCCAGTAGTTATTTCACCTAAGAGAAAAAAGTAACAAGGTCATCAATGCTTGATATAAAGCTAGCTTTCTGGCCAGGGTATAATAGTTACCATAATAAAGCAGCTGGGATCCCTAGCCATGGTGTAGTCATGGTTGGATACTGAACTCCTCTGTAACAGCAAATCATCATGGTGACTATGTGATATCTTCTGGAAAATGTGTTGGGTTTTGACAGCTGGTGGAAAAAAAAATCACAGTCCTGTGACTTACTCTGATATCATTGATTGGGAAATAATTTATTTGGCTTAAAGAATGATATGTTAGATTAGCTTTAGTTAGGGTATTGTAAGTGAGATCCTCAGCTCTTAAAAATTACAAGTTTCCCACAAAGAAAATAAGCAGCATTCTACTGTTATAGGGCCTCACTGTTTGCAACCTGGAGTAGATAGCAAATCAGAGGGGAGATTTTAATGCTTCAGGACTAGGGGTCATCTGGGTGCTGAGAACTTAGTTTTTAATTGGAAGAACTTTCAGGCAGCTTTTATGCAGCTTGCTGGGGTAAAATGGACCAAGCTGTAGCAGTAGGTACTCCAGAGGATCTAGACAGAGCCGCTGTTCACTTTCTGCCCATCTGTCCTCTCTGTACTCCTGGTCCTTACTTCCTTTACAAATGATACCTAGAAAGGTGAGTAAATGGACTCATTTTTGTTTAAAATTTTGTTTAAAAATAACAGTAGAGGGCAGAATACTCCTTTATTAATCATAGTAACTCAAAAGTTGTATTCAAGCAATAGTTTTTTTAGTTGAAATGAAGTAAGTTAATAATATCCACATTTGCCAAAGCAGTGCTTGATATCAGTCATCTTTTCTGTAGTTCTCTTCATCCAAGGCTGAATTTTCCTGCATCTTGTGAACCTGTCCCTAAGATGCTGTAGAGTCTGCCTCAAAGAGGTGGAAAATTATTACTGTGGTTTCAGTCTGAGTAATGAGATTGGATCTCTTTAAGTGATTGTCTTTTTCCCCCTCACAGGGTCAAATTACCCCTTACAGTGGAAGAGATCTTAAATTTTGGGGAAAGCAACAGAGAGCTGTTCATTAAATCCAGCACCTACAGTATCATTCCTATCACTGTTACAGAGATGGGGCTAACTATTAGCTGGATCTTTTCATCAGACCCTAAAAGCATCTCCTTCAGTGTCGTCTTCCAAGAATCAGAAGACACACCACTGGATCAGTGCAAAGTAAGCCCCTTGTGTCCTTACTATCTTAGAAACTGCAGTTCACTACAATCAGCTGCCTAGAGGAGTCAGCAGATACAGCCAGTAGGCCTCCATGAGAGTACCAGGTGTTATTTCATTATGAGGACTTGTTTCTTCTATTAAGCTACAGTTCTCCCAAAGGCAGAGATGCATCTTTAATTATTTAGTATTGCCTGCAAAAGTTGAGTGGAAAGCACTGTAGCTGTATCTAAAATTCACTCACTATTATTAAGCAAAAGTGAAGGTCCAAGCCTGCAAAATTCTTCTTTTTTCCTTCCTTAATATTACTTACTTTGTAAGTTGCTTATGGCTGATCTTGCCAGGCTCTTAAGCAGAGATGGGGCTCTGAGCAACCTTAACTGGTGGGAGGTATCCCCACCCATGCAGAGGGGTTGGAACTAGATGATCTTTAAGGTCCCTCCCATCCCAAACCATTCAATGCTTCTATTAATTAATTGGGTTCACCTGCATTTCTTAAAGTCCAGAATATATTTCAGTGCTTTGATAGTGTGCCCACATCTTGCTAAATCACTTTGCCAGTGCCCATCGTACCCATTTTTATCTGCGTTGTCTCTGTTTCACAAGGATTATGGATTAAGTTAATCTACATTGGATTAGATGACCTTTAAAGGCCCATTTCAACCCAGACTATTCTATGATTCTGTGTTACTCAGCTCATTGCAAAGCTCTGCTGAAGACCAGGCAGCTGTTGGTTTAACCCGTCATGGCAGGGGGAGCTCTAAGGCTGAGATTTCACTGTGGGAGTAAGATATTTATGTAGCGTGGGTTAATTCACTCCTGGGTAATGAACTGGATGTAAAATTTCTTTTTCTCTTCATCTGGAGGCTGAATGAATATGAAATGTTGCTTCTGTCTTCATATACCTACTTGATACAACTTTGGGTTTTATAGGGCTGTCAATCGGCTGCTGTTCTGACAGTCTCTGCTAGGGTTTTACAGCAAGACAGGTGGTTACACACAGTTTTGCTGTGAATTTAGATAAACAGTTAAGATTTACTGAGAAAGCTTATTTTATTGTACAAGGAGTGCAAAAGCACATACTAAGAGACCAATTTAACTAAATCGTGGTCTTGGATATATTTGTATAGATTTAATTCAGCCCTGCTGATTTTAGTAAACTTGCTTAGATTAACAATGTTACGAGGATTAGGATTTGATTCTATCTTTCAAGTAGAGTTTAGTAGCTTAATGCTGTGAAGAGGCAGTCAAAGGAAAATGGATGTCTCACTGTGAGGTTTGTTGAGTTTGTGGGAATTTTTCATGCTTATCAATGAAACCAAATGGTATTGCAGGAAGATATATACTGTGGGATTTTGAAGATGGTTCAATTCTCAGTATTTTTCTGAAGTCAAATGTCAATTTATAGGTCAATTAGTCTTGATTTGTATTGAATTCCAGGTTCTTATTCCTATGACCCGCTGCAACTCTCATAAGGAAACTATCAGAGGTCAGGTGAAGGTCAGAAACGCTGGGATCTACACACTGATATTTGACAACACATTCTCCAGGTAGGCCCTAGCTGGGTGAGAGAAGGTGAGACAAGCTTGATTTTACAGACTGTGGGACTGATTGCATGTACCATGATTATTCTGCCATTCAGTAATAAGTATGAGAAATTGGTCCCAGCTTGCCAAGAAATTTTCAGTCATCTGTGACTCTTTCCAAGACAGTATTAGTTGTGACTGTCATCTTCCTAACAGCAGACCTGACAGTCCTTGCACAGGCATAGTTCTTTTCAACACCAGTCATTTATTTGCCTGAATATAAACTGAAAGACTGAATAGACTTTTAAGGCTTTCTCTCTAGTTGAGCTAGAACTAACATGGCCATCTTGTTCTTTTTTTTCACCCTGACAGGTTTATCTCAAAAAGAGTGTTTTATCACTTGACTGTTGAACGACCCGTCATCTATGATGGAAGTGATTTTCCATAGCCTTGACTCTACTGTGTTGTTTTTAATTACATTTTTAAGAAATGCTGTTATTTATGTACATGTAAGCATTATGGTTACCACTGTGTTTGAAGACTTTGAAACTATGCAATAGTTACAATGCACTTAGAGCACATGTATACACTAAAAAATTGAAGCCTTTTTAGGAACACTAATGGTTCTGTACTGTGTACAGATTGCTGAAAAGCCATGTTGTTTGATTTAACAGGTCAAATAATGTTCCAACCAAATTATGCAGTGGGGAGAAATGTCATTGTGGGAGTGTCTAAATGCAAACTGAAATTCTCCACTGAAAACTTAATCACTTTTCTTAAAAAAAAATAATCCTTCAAAAGGAAACTTAAAGAAAAATGCATATTTTTGTTGACTCTTTACTGAGGAGTAAACAAAACTATTTCTCTTCTGCTGTACTGCTCTTACAGTCAGAACAACAACTATGCAATACTTCAATCATCACAGGCATATATTGTAATCCATCTAGAATTTTGTACCTTTTCCAAGTTTTATAGACAGCAAACATAGGGGTTTTTTTACATTTTGGGGCTGAGATTTGGTAAGTCCTAAATGGCTCTTACAAATGCTTTGGTACTGAATGCCAGTTACAAAACAATGCAACATGAAGCAGCAACTCCTGTTGCTTTTGCTCACCATAATCTGTAAGCTGGTGGCAGAATCAGGAGCATAAATTGTAGAATTGAAGTACTGCTCACTGTGTGACATTAGGAAGAGGAACATTCCTTTTTCTGGCTTTAGCAACTTATCATCAGCATTCACAGGAAAGCATGGATTCTGATGTTGTTATCAGTCTCTCTCTCTTTAGACCAAGTGGAAGGTAGCAATAATGTTTGAATTGGTCCCAAAAAGTCCATCCAAAACTGAATGCTTATCCAGCTCTGATGAGCTCTCCACCCAGTGTTAGTGTATTCTGCCCATTTCCTAACCCTTGCAGTTGCCCTAGCCAGCTAATAACTTTCCATCTCAGATCTGGGGAGAGAGCTGGCTGTGAATTCTGCCTTTTAAGAGAAGACTGGGTTCTTATTTATACAACATTTCCACACAAACTGTCTGCTTTCTAAATAGAGTTTCAACTTTTTGTCAAAATATCTGAAAGCAGATCTTTCTGTTTAAAAACCCTGTCTTCTGATGGGGGGGGAAAAAAAAAATACCAAAAACATTTGGCAGGAGAAAGAAGAAAAGCTCTTTTTGCCAACCACCCCTCCTCATCATTTTAGGTATGTCTGAGCTCTCATGTTATGGTTGGCCCAAGGAAACCTAGGAAACCAAGGTTTTAGGGCAGCAGTTGGTAGACAGCCAGCTCAGCCTGCTGGAAGCCCTGTCAGCACTTGGTGGCAGCTGAAGCTGGTTATACCAGGGGTCTTGGTGGGAGAGAGACAAGAAAACATTAAGGGAAAGAAGAAAAGAGGACAAGCTGAAGCAAATTATTTAGAGGAGGGGAAGGAAAACAGAGGGCAAACTTAAAAATGTAAAAAACAAAGGCAGGGGATTGGAGGGAGCAGCTCGATAGGAAGGGAAATTGGGAGAGTTCATTTGATATTTATGTGATTCTAGTCCCATCCATTAGCCATAGGAGATCTCCTGTGGCAAAAGGCTGGTTGTTTAAAAGATGGACATCACAAGACAAATCATGAATATTTACATAGTAGCAGCTGAGATAGAGGGAAATTCCTGATGGTAGGAAAGGAAAGAATACTGCAGGTAAAGCTAAATGTTGCTAATATTCATTCCAGTTGTTAACACTGTGTAAATACACTAATCTTGAAAGGATTGTACAAGAATGGCTACCTTTCCTGGAGCACTTGGATTCTGGACAGCTTTTCCTTCCTTTCAGACACTCTTCCCCCATATGGGTGGTGTGGTCCCCAGCCTCTGATAGGCAGAGGGGTGAGTGGAAGGTGCCAGCAGGTTTGTTCCTCCTCCTGAGGGAACAGGCTGCAATGCAGTAAACCCTTACCTGGCTGCATGCATGAGAATTAGATGGACAAGAGACTGAAGTGGGCAATAAGCAGGCAATAAATGGCACATGGAACAGTTAATGGATTATGGCATCTTTCAGTATCGAAGCTATGTTTTATATTAGGCAAGAAGAGATTATTTATTGCTTGAAAATGGGAGTACTGTTGTACCATATGCTATGCCATTTCTCTGAGCTGTTACTGAAGTCTGCTGGAGTTTTCCTTTAAACTTTTAGGTGTGGTTTTTAAAAGCATTTTGCTGTTGTTTTAGTTATAATACTAATCTTACTAGGATATCTTTCTTAAAATGCCAAATGTAAGGTAAAGAGACACTGTCAAATATCTTTCTTAGGCCAAATATGACATCTCTGCTCAAAAGTATTTGAAATATCTCCATGCAAAATTATTTGAAGGGTTTGCACCTGGATTTCCTCTCAGTATCCTGGTTCTTAACATTTCTTCATCCTGAGGCAAATAGTTTTAAGCCGCTGTTGATGTAACTCCTTAGTTGGCTCCATTCTAGTACACCAAATGTTTCCCTACCAGTCTTTCATGTAGGCAGCCCTGAGGCTGCCTGAAGCTTATGTTTGGGAGAAGGGGAATAAAAACACCAGATTGTTTTTACTTAGCATGTTAGTCTCTATAGTACCTTTTCTTCAGGTTTTCCTGCCCCATGAGAGTAGTTTTATGGATATTTTGCTCTCTGAAAGAGGACTAAGAGTGGGAATCAGAACCTGTAAGACAGAAAAGGTTTGCTTCTGACTAAGGAAAGTATTTAAGAAGCAGAAAATATTTCAAAAGAGGAAATATATTCAAACTGGTAAGGTATAATAAGTGAAAAGGAGTGCAGCTGTTCAAATCCACTGTTGAAGAACAGGAATCTCATCATATCACTTAGAAGAGGGAGTCTTCTACACCTCAGAGGCTGTGTAGAGAAGACAGTAAAGAACCTGTCATTAGTACCCACCTTTTGTTTGAATGTCCCAAATGGTTTATTACTGGAACCACAGAAACCTGATAAAGGACTTAGCACAAGCATAGGTTTGTGCAAGAGATTATTCCATTCAAGCACTTAATAAATAGCTCCATTCATGCAGTATTTGTTCATGTGAGCTGTGCCAAGGACACTGATCAATCTGTTTGTTTACAGGTGTTCAGGTGATACATTGAATTGGGCCTTTTATTAGCTGCAGCAATACAGTTAAGAGGAAACAAATATTTAAAATTGATCATGAAATAAATTTAAGATTGTCCCATACTCATGGGAAAAAGAAAGTATACATTGTGGTCAGTATAAGCAATGGGATATTCCATCTGGGTGTTGGAATGATGGAGGGTGGTTTTTTTTTTTCTGTGCAGAGGTTTATGTGAAGTAAAAATGTAGTTGCTGTAAGAAAGTGACAGTGTTCCCTTGCTCAACGTTACTCAATGTTGCTTTGTGTGAAGTCACTGAGACCTATTGCACAAGGGTGTACACCACGTTACAGAGCAGCTAAGCTACAAAAGCCTGACTTTGCTCCTTTTTTAGCACTGAAATTGCACTATAGTTTTAATTATGCTCAATCACTGAGACGGTAGCTTGTTCAGAAGCATTTTTGGTTAGAACTGCCAAAGAATTCCCAACCCTGCTCACATCAAACCTCACATGCCAGAGAGGGGAGGAAGAGGTTTGTGTATGCCAGTGTCTGTCCAGTCACAGAGATGGAGATGGTTGTGTACTGGAACGTTTCTGGATGCTTTTTTTTTTTTTTCCTTTTTTAACCTCAGGAATTAAAAAAATAAAATTCTGTATCATTGAGAAGCTGTGTCCCTTTCCTGCCTCCTAGGGATAGCTTTGTCCAAAGATAAATCGGATGACTGTATGTATGACCTACTTCTAAGCAGGAAAAAATATTAGGAAATAAGGAAAACAGAAAATAGTCTGTCATGCTGATGGATAGAGGCCAGATCTAAACAGTACAACAGCGCAGCAGCAGAGAGCCTTAGATAAGCTCTAAGTGAGCCAGTCTCCATGCTAGAAGTACCACCCTGTCCTGGTGACTGGGAGCAGCCAGGCTTCCCCCAGCAAGGGCAGAGCCCCATGGCTGAGAAACACCTTCACCTGCCCTTGCTTCCCCGGGGAGGTAAAAACAAAGCAGCCCCAAGGACAGCAATTGTGCTCCCTGTTGCCCACGACGCTGAGCAGTGCTGTCCTGCAGCTTAGGGCACCCATCTGGTTTTCCCCAGTCAGTGCACCCGGGTCACACTGTATGGCTGTGGGGGGGAAGGAAGGGCTGAGTGTGTTTCAGGCTCTCACTCTTCATGTGTCACCTCTGAGGTTACTTCTACAGTCCCAGCCTTGGCACATGTGAGAAACAGTTTCCAGGGCTTGTCTGAGCTGCTGGGGCCATCTGAATGGGCTGAGGAGGACAAGGGGCCCTATCACCACCAGTCATTGCTTCTTTTATCAATTATTTCTGTTTCCCCATGGGGGTTTCCTG